GCCATTTTGAAATTGGTTTATGTGTACTGAACTTCTGTTCTGTTACAGGTTTAAACCAGCTTCTGATTGCTTAAACCAGTTCATTTAACTTCTGTCCCTAGCATTATTGACTCTACTACTACATTTTATTGCATTAATTCGAGGAGCTCCTGGTAACCTGTTGCACTACTGCATATGACTAGTGCCATGATCCAAATCCAGGTTGGGTAGTTACTTTCTGCCCGCCTGAATTATCCTGGTAGTTTCCATTGAATTATTTGTCCATTTGCTTGTAGAAGAACTTAGAAAACCAAAACACCTTCAACTTCTAACTTCAAAAAACTCCTTTGAACAAATATCTAAAGGGCTGAAGAAAGTGTCAGAGAAGAGGGGAACCCATGTTCAGGGAGTAGGATGCCCTAGGGTTTGGGGGTAGAAATTGAAAGCCCAGTCCTGCAGAAGGCACGGTGCTAAGGCTGGGGTCACAATTCCACACAGAACTGAAGTCGGGTCTAATGTAAAATGCAGGAACTGAAGAGAGCAGAACGAAGAAGCAGTGCCAGTCCTAATCCACAGGAGACTCTTTAGCAGAATAAACTTTGGCAGCTAAATTGGCAAAATTGCCTCAGTCTACCTTCTCCACTCTTGCCTGTAAGATTGGCATGCAAAATTTATTACACTTAGGAAGAATTGCAAACTAAGAACCTGAAAAAGGGGTTCCTCCATTTTTTTTTTTTAATTTTTAGCTACTGAGGAAGGGAGATCACAAAGGTGGGTTTAAGGTTTACTGTGAAAGAGAATAGTTGAAAGCTCTCAACTTTAGCTTAGCACTCCTTTAAAAAAGTGCATGTGTGTATATATATGTTTGTAGAGAAGATGTGTTTTGTTTAGTAGCTGTATAATCATTTTGCATCTTTACAGAGCTTCATGAGAAAGTAATTAGATATAATAAAAGCAGCAATTAATTTAAAGTCATAGTGGAGTTATTAAATTCAATAGGAAGCTTGGCTTCTAACAGAAAGTATAGTAATTTTGACATGACTTTGAACCAAATTCTTACCTGTGCTATGATAAAGAATTATGTCGGGACCAATTTGGTGCCTTGACAATGCACTTCTGTGGCATTTAGGCATCATATGAAGATCTCATGATAAGCAGCTGCAGTGTGTTGGCATTGTAACACAGATGGGCTTTGCTTTCGCTGTTCTGGCATCATGATAGAAGATGCTCCTGTAGCTGTCTGGCTCCATGGCGTTACAAAAAAATCCCCATTGGCTTGGTACACATCAGCAAGACCTTTTTGTTAATGGCAAGTTACTTTATTGCTTTAAAACCCCAAACTCCCAGTACTGTGCAAGTGAGATTTTGTTTTGAGAGGGGGAGAATGCAGAGGTGGGGGGACAGGGCTTTGTGCTGTGGAGCTGCCATTTGGATTGTGCCTGGTGAATGCAACAAAATGGCTGCTCCTTATATCTGAATGGAAGTGCACTCTTGCTGTCTTACTGAACATGTGCTCAGCAGCTTAATGACTTATGCATGGGAGTATTCATATCAATCTGACTTCGAGCTAAGTGTATGAGCAGATTTCTGTAGGAGTGCAGTGTTTGGGGCAAGAGGCTTCTCTGCTTTGCTATTTTGGCTTTCAGCAACCTCTCTGTGCCCTTTTCCCGCATTCAGTCTGACATATCACTCACGTCCTCAATCACTCGATGCTATGGTTATGGCCGTTATATTTCTCCATGACGGGAGAAGTCATAAACCTTGACCTCCCATTAGCTGCTTAGCAGAGAGAAACACGTGGGTGAAGAAATATCCACGGCCCTCATTTCCCCACTGTCTGTCCTTGGAAATCCATTGATGTTGGAAGCTTCCTAATGCCCAGGGTGCCTGTTCACTGTGCTATCACTAGGATCACTGGTGGTGGTGTTTGATATCAAATAATACATCTAATTAATAAATAGAGCTCTAGGCTGAGAGGTAATACAATATTACAACAATGCCTCCAACTGGCACAGGAAAGGGGAAAGAAGAATTTAAACGGGAATCTTCCCTGTGAGGAACATAATACATGTGATATATTTGAAATTGGGAGTCACCAAATAGCTGAGGGTTAGAATGTAGATAAACTGAAGTTGAGATTTAAAGAAAAACCCATGTGCTTTGTGGCTCAGGAAAGAGAAGGGATCTTTATTTTCCATGTAGATCTATTGTCCTAGCTCAGTTTTGCTCTGCACCATTTCTGCTTCTGTTCTGGATTCCAGAGAGCCAGCTGCTAATCGAAGCAAAATTCGTACTGGGTTTGCAATGCGAACAAAGTGTTCACTAAGGATTGGGTTTAAAAAGAACGTTGTGACCACAAGCATGACTTGAAATGCCAGCATCTGAAACTATTGGACTTCTGAGGCCCACTGTTTCCTGCGAGAAAGGGAATATTGCCTTCACTCCGCTGCAATAGTATTATCTATATGCTAGAGATCTACACAGCACAGAGGAATTTCAGTGGTTTCTGCTGGAGCAGCCTGTAATAACATTCCACAAAGAGCACAGGAACCTCTGCCGTTTATTTTAAAATCTTAAAGAACATTTTCCATTAATAAATTTATAAGGCCTTGTGTGTTTATAGAACGCTGAACAAATATATACTTCACTCTTCCGTGGCATTTTCTATCCAAGCTTTCTAAAGTGTTATGTAAACCTTAATGAAGGTGAGATATATTACTGTCTTTATTTCTTGGTAGTAACCGAGGCATAGATTAGTTAAGTGACGACTCCAAGGAGGCCTATGGCAGAATTGGAAATAACACCCCTATCATGGGATTCCCAGTCTTGTCCATAAAAGTAACATCATCCTTCCTTGGGGACGTGTGCGTGTATGGGGAGCCCCATGCCAACCAATGATGATGGGCCTGGAAGGGCTTTGGCTTTTGAGGGGGGTTTGGCTCTCACTGAGCAAGTCAAGCTCTTCTCCCTCTGCTTCAGTCTCAAGCTGTTTGTGGACCTGGATAAAAGCAGGACCCCTCCTGTATACCAGATGCTGCTCTGCTGAAGCACATTAATAAGCAGCAGTTTATCATTTATTAATCAGAAAGACTTAAAGGATTAGGTGCCACTGAAAGATGATCAATATCTCCAATGGGAATTCTTTATAATGGACAAAGATATCCAAGCCCTGTTGGATATCTTTATACTTAGTACAATTCAAGATGCATAAGGAATTATGATGCTTCAACTATAGACAATATGCCTAAGATGTTATGGTGGGAACCTGTTGGCAGCAGAAATGTCACAAACCAAGATGTATACAGTTTGTCCATGTCTTGTAATGAAATTACAGCCTTGTCAATTTAGGAAGTACCTGAGTTTAATTAAAAATATTAATCATCCCAAGTTTCTTGCCACTCTTTCACCTCTTGTATCTCACTTTCCTGTGGGACATTTTGACATCAGTTCCCACTTCCTGTTCATACATTGTTAATTCCTCTCAGCTTGACTATTTGCATATTATTACGTAGCACCATGAATGCACATGCCTTGCAGCCCATTTGAATACAGAGCGCCTGTGCTCCTGGAGCTAAGCATCTAAAAAGATGTGTAAGCATTCTTCATTCCAGAAAGAACAGAGGAAAATGTACATTGGGTATTTTTTCTATTGCTTTCTTATCCTGACACCAAACTCTGAGCAGTAATAAGGACGTAAACGCTAAACACACATTTGTTGTAAGCCTATAATCTTGCATTATAAACCTATCAGTGCTGTGCCATGTGTCACATGAAAAAAGCTCCTCAGTGCCTCAATTTGGTTTTCCATGCAGTCATGAGGACACCAAGGGCTTGATTCTTCTTCTGATGTACTTTGGCTGACACGGCAGTCATGACAGCTGTGTAAAGGAAACAGAACCAATGTGCAAACAAGCTACCCTGGTGAAAGTGAGTGGAGATTTCTGATTTGACATTTGTGTATGCACAAGGATTAAATACTGATCTGCAGTCCCCAGCAGTGGAGGGTTAGGCCAGGAGCATTTTTATAGAAGGTGGATGTCAGGATGAATTGCATTTGAGTCCCCAGTAGAAAACATGCAAGAATATGCAACAAGTTCCCCACCATGGTCTCTCACCTGAAATAATTCAAACCAAAATGTTAGGCTAGGTTAGAAACAGAGACAGAGAAGAAATGTCCTATAAGGGCTGCAAGATCATCTTAAAAATCCATTAAACTTTCCAGACTCCTGCATAGGCTTTTAATTTCTATAAAAAATCATAACACCTATAGAGGGGGAAAAATTTATGAGCTCGTTTTATCCTTCAGCCCAACCACTGCAACATTTTCTTTTAACGCACTGCTTTGTCTTGCTTTGTCAGCCTGAACTGACTCAGATGGTTGAGCTCCTATCACTTCCCCGAGGAGACTATTTTACAGTCTATCCCCTCAGTAATAAATCTCTAGGGTCCTTCAGATTCCCTCAAAAAATAAATCTATACAGCTGTATATGCTCACGTGTTTCCATGGCAGCTGAAACGGTGATGAGCATAATGTGAAAGCCCAGGCAGGCAGACAGGATTCCATAGATATGACTGCAAAACACACAAAAAAAGGCTGAAACTAATTTTGAACAGCTGGGTTTTAATTCAAAGGTTTTTGC